CTACCAATTCACCTCTCTGACAGGGCCTTCTCCCCTCTGTGTCTTTGTACAGGTAAGCCTGTCCCCTGGGCCTGGAATATCTTCCTTCGCTCTTCCTTTCTAGGCCTGGCTAACTCCTCTGTTCTTTTGGGCTTAGTTCTTAAACGTTTAGACATTGCCCCCCACCCCCATCACTTCTTGCAGTTTTCGCTGACTACCAAAGTGAGTGAATCCCACTCACTCCCCCAACTTTTGTGCATCTTAGTTCTCCATGAATTTATTCCTTCCTAGTGGATTCAGCAATTACCTCCCTAACTGACTTGAATTTCCTGGTATTTCATCCTTATGCCTAAGACAAACATACAGGTTTGAAAGATGTCCAGAGAAATAATCAAAGTTGTTTCATCAATAAGAATTTAAACAAAGTTTTTTTAGTAACTCTCATTCAGATTTTGTTAGACAGTTCATTCATGTTCTTAACATTACAGAATATCACTAAAATATTTTAGATTATATCTTAAAACTCTAACAGCTGTAGCAAGTTTCAAATTCCACTTCTTTCCACAGAGCATGAGCATACATCCTCCTAGAGGCTTTGGACTATCTGGGTTTCTTTGATGCTCTCATATTCATTCTGGCATTTGTCTACCATTTGTTCAAGGTAATTGCCACACTCTTAAACACACTCAGTGCTTATCTTTTTTCTGTAATTGTGAAGGATGTGCTCAGGTCTTTGGTAAAAGCTGCATTTACTTAATCCTTCAAACCCAGAAGCCTTCACCCACCATGTTTGGTTCTTCCCGGTGACTTAACCTTAAGAGAAGATTAGTTGACTGATGAGTCTGCTTATTTGGTACCTTTCTTCTCCACTGTCCAAACTTACACTCACATAAATCAGAGAAGATGGGGTAAGATGGCACACTTGGTAAAATAATAATAAACAACCAAAAACTCATCTTTCCCATTTGCTTTCTATAGTTCCTAAAATTCCCAACACACATTTAAGATGTCCTGAAGCTCCTCTGTGAACTGTAGATTAAATATTAGCAACCCTTCCGATCTTAAACAGAAATCAGACTTACCCCTACAGAGGTAAGGAGTTGGTAACACTTTATTAGTATCTCAGAAAATTATTTGTCTGAAGCTAAGTGTAGGGTAAGTAAAAATGTCAGGCTTTTCTGCCCTCCCGCCATCAGGATAGATGATGGATCCTTGCGGTCCTGAATGCATGCCTGATGGTGGGCACCTGGAATAGGGTGTGGGCAGAGGTAGATGGGATTCACCTGGGCTGAGATGGTGCTTTTAAAGGCAGCATCACGGGGATGCCAGTAAAAGCCGAAAGAGAAGCCAAGAAAGAAGAAGCAGAAGCCAAGAGAGAAGCAAGAGAAGCAGAAGCCAAGAGAGAAGCAAAAGAAGCAAAAGCCGAGAGAAGGCTGGAGAGCCCATAGAGTGAAGACCTGCTGGGGGCTGAGAGGCCTGCCAGCCTCCGAGCTCCCCAAACCCCCAGAGTACTTCTGCCTGCTGTGTACCTGGTTATCCCAATAAAAACCTGCAAAACCACTGAGGATTCTGACTCCTTTACCCGTTTTGCCTGGGAGCCTAGAAAACCTGCACTGTGTCATTCCTGCCCTTACACTAAGTCATCAGTACCCCTTTGCTTCCCTTTTAAGTTTAGTAGAAACTGTGAAGTTGATATCAGAACTAGTCAAAACTGATGGGCTATAAATACTATAATAATCATACTAGTTGCTTTATATTTTGGTAGCAGGTTTTTTTTTTTTTTTTTTTAATCAACACTTCTCATTTCAGAATATTTTTTTCCAGGGAGCAGTGTTTACTTTAAGAATTAAACTTATTCAGAGAAATTTAGGAGACTCTAAAAATAAAATGAATTTTCAAAAGAATTCTAAAATTCAAAGTTGCAAATGGATAAAAATAAGACCATCAATTGACTCAACTCTCTTTCTATTGAGTTTCTGAGCTCACTCACATAGCCCAGTCAAAGGGTAGAAATTTGAGATGCTGGGCATTTGTGACTCAGATGTTTGGATTATTGGTCTCTTTAAACATATAAAAATATGCAAGGCCAATTTTTAATTTTAAAGAGCAATAGTCTTAAAAATCTAAACACATGAAGAATAACAAATACCTCAAAGTTGACTCTGGCTTAATGCTTCCCTAAACATTGCGAAAGGTCTATTTTCTAGGGTTAGAGCTACTCTTACGTGAAGTAAATTTTGCCCGTAAATCGGCATTAAAATCACTGAGTAGGTTGTTCCTGCCTTGGTCATGCTTTCAGAGAAGGGATGGGTTCTTGGTGATTTTGTATTAACCAACTCTTTCTGCTCTCAAAGTTTTAGAGAGAAGTAAATTAGGATAAAATTCCCTTTAATTGCAATTCTCACTAGTCATTCATTTACTAAGAAAATTCCAGGAAAGTGAAATAACTCGCTCAGAGACACAAATTAGATAATGATAAATCTAAGCCTTCTCCTTGCTCTTTAACCAGTTCTTTTTCCACTATGATAAATGACAAATAGTTAATTAGATTTTTGTAAGTGAATTCTATTTCCAATGCAATAGAGAAGTTGTGGATGAACTCTGCAGCAGAGCTTACCACTGAGAACAGATTTGTTTTTGTACCACTCTGGTGGGAGATATTGGCAGTGGGGGTGGCTGATTGCACTGGGATGCTTATACTCTACTTTCTGTTCATTTTTGCTGAGATGAACCTAACGCTGCTCTATAAAAATAAACCTACTTAAAAAAAATAGATTTGTTTTGTAATGCATATGATTTCCTAATTTATTTTATATGAAGGTTAGTATCTTTAAGGTTAGTATCTTAAGTATTGAGGCATACCCATGATCCTTTTATAACTTGGGTAGAAAAATGAAGAAGTGGGGATGAAGCAGGTGAGAGAGAGTCAGAGAGTGGAGGCAGGGGTGTCAAGTATGGAGGCATTTATTCAGGTACCATTTTCCCCACTTCAAATAGATAATCATAGATCTTTTCCAACAGCCTGTGCTAACAGGGCCACAGCCCCATTTCTCTATAACATTCCTCCCAGGTAACATTATAATTGGAAGTGACTCTATTTGCATGAAAAATGAAAGAATAGGGCACACACTCACACAAGAATGGGCCACAGTAATTGCAAGATTCTACCTCTGTCAGTAAATGAGAAGGTTTAGGCAAGGAATGCAAACAGGTTTGCTATTTGGTCACTCTACAATATTTTACAAGAACAATAATAATATCCTGGAGTTTATAGTTCATTAAAAACTGTAAGACATGATTCAATGTTAATGCTAAGATGAATCCACATAACAGCAATAGGAATCAAAAAAAGAAATGTTCCATCCATGCTTTTCAGTAAATAATATGCATATTTACGTGAACATAAAGGGCAAAATGAGTACCAGGCCAAACCGTCAATAAACATTTATTGCTTATTCACACTACTGTGACAGGCAGGGTCCTCAGACTACAACCTGCCTGACTGGCTGATGTTTCAAACCTTCTGGATTCAACTGTTCACCAATAAATAAGATTTATCCACTACATTAACATTATATAATTTCAAACAGTAAGTGGGCTAACAGTATCCATTAAAGTCATGAAAGTCAAATTGCAATTCTCAGAGATGTGAAAATAGAAAAGGAGATAATTGTGCATCATCTCATATTCAAGAAACATTGGTTGCCTTTCATCTTCCTGTGTTCACCTCTTTTCTTGGGACTTCTATAAAGAATGGAATAGGCATTAGCAGTAAATAGTGTCTTCCTTGAATTTGGTCCCATGGTCAATATTGCCCCCACTCCCAGGTCACAATCTAACAGCTATTACATGCATCTTTTACAAGTACTCTGTGCTGTTGACAGCAGTAAGAACAGGTTTTATTTTCAGTCACTAAAGAGTACTATATGGAGACGCATTCCTTGTTGTGATGTTACCTCTTTAAAACTCATCTCAAGTTTATTTCTATGGTAAAAGCAATCAAAAAGTGTTGTGCTTCTAAGAGACTGGAGAAGTTGTAGGTGGTCCACTGAACAACACAAACATTTATAGTGCCTTGAAGGGTAGAGAAAGGTTGGACAGGGTTACTTTATCTCCTTTAAATAATGAAGAACACATCGAATTTAATCAAATCCGTTCTTAAGAAATAGGAAGAGGAGACGTCTCTTTTCTCTGTATCAGGTCGGATTGTTGGGTTACATTTTCTAATGAGTCAGATATTTGTTCTTCTATTTACTTAGCCTAGATACTTAGGATTCCCTCAGAATATTAGGCAGTCAGGGGCAACCAGGGAGCATCAAAGGTGTTACTCCCTTTATCTAAAAAAGGTTAAGTAATAAATAACCTCTGTGTCCCTAGGGCTTTCTTCTCCTCAGCCCCACCCCCCAGTCTACTCACTTCCATCTAATGGGATCAGGATACAAAGAACAATGAGAAATTCCTTCTGCCTCTTTGCAAACCAACCTTCCTTTCCCAATACGTGGACCTTTATAATGGTTAACATTTATATGGATCTAACACATGCCAGACTGCGTTCAGAGCATTTCAAATACAGTAGTAAATTCCACCCATAATACTCTATCACCATTTTAAAGATAAGGAAAGTGAGATTCACAGAGAGATTAGTAATTTGCCCAATGCCATGCAGATAGTAAGTGGTGGGGCCAGAATTCAAACCCAGGCAGGTTGATGTTGGAATCCTTGCTCTTAGTCTTGCACTTTTTGACTCTGAGCAAGCACCTCGGGGCTAGGCATCTCCTCCGAGGAAATAATGTTTTGGATATTAAAAGACATATCAAATACCCCCATTGTCAATTTCCTTCTCAGAACTTTGAAATCCTCTATGCTGTCAACAGAGAGGAGAAGATCCCCAGTTTACAATCAAGCACCTGTTTCACCCAGTTTAGCCACAAAAGACACTGGCCCTCTATTGCCTCTGGGTATCCCCCCCAATAAAGATTCTCCAAATTTCTAATCTTAAACCAAAATAACTTGATTCTCACCTTTCCAGGCATGAGTGAGGCAAAGCTGCAAGTCCTTTGCACATTTTGGCAGTAACTTAGCTCCTTAGCTCTGAGCAGTTTCTTAGCCAGCACAGAGAAAGTCTGAAAACTTCACAATTGTTCAGGACTGCCGTCCCTCGGTGGGATATATAAAGGCTCTTTCCCACCCCCTGTGGGCCTGGGGACCAATCCAGAGCTGTAGAGGAAATTGCAGACTGAGAGCAGCTCTGGAGTAGTGTGGTGGCTGGAATCCTTTTTCTGCTGCAGGCGCTGCTGTGTTAGATTTCAACTGCTCTTAACAGGACACTAGGTTGCTTGTTCTGACAGGGCAGGGTTAGGCCCTAGGCTGTGCCCAGGTCATTTATGTGTTAACTTGAAATCTCCAGGCAACCACAGGATGGGGGCTTTGTTATAAAAGAGCTCTAGCCTTGGGCTACTTCAACTCTGTCACCTTCAGAGGCTGTTAAGAGTACTAGGGTTCTGGAGATTAGATAGCCCAATTCGGCTTCACAGTGGAGGGGGGGAGCAGATTTAGAGAAGGCCAGGGGTGCCTACGTGAGTATCTGGGCTGAAGGCCTTCCCCCAACCCATTCCCCCCACTGGTCGTTGCCTAGAATTGTCTTCCTTCTCCAACAAACTTTTCCTACCTCCTATCACTCAAGGGTCATTCCACTAAAATTTACATGAGTTAAGTCTCATTTTGTCCAGACTGATAAATTAATATATAAGTGTAAATATCTAAATGCTAGGCAGGAGTCTAAATTAATAATAGGAAACATGGCATAATCTATAAGAAAAACTCTACAATTGAAATTAAAATGAGTCTTATAAAGTTCCCTGTTGTTCAAAAATTTTATTTCAAATTGTTGAGGAGAGCTTGTTATTGACTTGTAAAGTCAATTTAGTGTATTATGACCTAACATTTTAAAATAAGTAAATAAAATAGAATAAATATCCAAATGCTTTGCAAGGAGAAAGTTAAATATTGTTTTCTGAAATTGTTACCTTATATCAATATGTGTGTGGGGGGCAGGATTATGAGGTAAGCTGTATTTTTTACTACATATCATTATCAAAAAGCCATAGCAATATGCTATACATTCCTAACAGAAAACCCTACACTCCGTTGTTTATAGCAGCACTATTAAAATAGCCAAGATATGGAAATAAACTAAGTGCCCCAAAATAGATGAGTGGATCAAGAAAATGTGTTGTGTATATATGTATGCACACAATTTAATACTACTCAGTAATCAAAAATAAATAAATAAATAAACTCATTTGCAGCAACATGGATGGAGCTGGAAGGGATACTAAATGAAATAAGCCAGAAGGAGAAATATAAATACTAGATGGTGTCATTTATATGTAGAATGTAGAGAAACCAAACAAAGGGTCAAAGACAAACTTTTAAAACTAACCCTTCAAAACAGACCAATGATATTTCAGCTTTCAGGTGGGGGAGGTGCGAACAAGGGGTGCAAACAAGGTGTATTTGTGTGTAGGGGGGGAGTAGACAAGCAGTGGAGGACTGTGGTGGACTAGTGCTTTAGTGATAGGACAACCACAGTGATGACACCTGAGGGGGGAAATCCTATATTGTCAAAATACTAGTGAGGGGCCTCCCCTGGTGGCGCAGCGGTTGAGTGCTGGGCTGTGAAGCTGCCCGCAGCCTCTGCAGCACCAATTCGATCCCCGGTCACTGGCGAGGGTCCCACATGGTGCGCAGACCTCTCCTGCGCCCGCTGCTCCCCTCAGCAGTGTACTTTGGTCCTTCTGCCTGTTCTGCTCCCTGCTCTTGCTCTGGTGAATTCTCTCACCCTCCCGCGCTTCTGACTGTAACCTGTATAAATAAATAAATAAATCTTTAAAAAAAAAAAAAAGATACTCAATTAAAAAAAAAAATACTAGTGAGGATGTAAAATAATGTAACTTTGAGACAGGACAAGCTAGGGTTATTAGGCAGTTTTAGGGACAGTGCAGGAGGGGACCTCTGAAGAATTTAGGGAGGCTTCAGAGATAAGGACAACCCAGGGAAAGTAACCCATTCCACTAGGAAAAACAAACATCTCAGGACCAAGGACAACATTGTTAACGCTGGTCCTGGTTTCCTTCAGGTGGTAAAGGGAGGCGGAGATTGGAGAAATGGAGAGTGGTTTAATTTATGGTCACATTAGAAGGGCAGCTGTTTAACTTCAATGCAGGGATGCCCATCCAGAGGACTGGGCCATAAATTTAAAGATGCAACAAATGGGGAAAGAGAAAGCTGTTAGATAAGGAATGTGAAGATTCCCTACTCAGTAGCAAATTAAGTGAGACAGCCGAGAACTAACCAATCACAAAGAGACTAGTGGAGCTTTAGAATAATGAGGGAAAAAAAGGTATATATTCCCTGAGACACAATTCCACTTTGGCTTCCTTGCCCCTCCCAGGCCTGGTTCCCTGGCCTGGGAGTCTCACTTTATTTCTCCTCTTTTTCTCTTCAATAAACTTTTTTTCTTCTAAACAAACCTGCGCTTCTCGCTTGCTTGCCTGAGCGGCTGCTGCGAAGTTCCTGCTGCGGGCTTCGTGAGACACCAACCCGTGGGGGGTCTAGCGGCTGGGGGCGCTCAGCGTTGCCCTGCAGCCTGGAATCCGTTCCTGGCTGGGAGACTAGGCCTGACAATTCCGGTATCAACTTCAAAAACAATTTCAAAAAGAAAGGAAAAGGAAAAAGAGAGAACACAAATAAATTAAGAATTGATAAGGAAGAAAGGACCAATGAAAGAAAAGAATTTTTTTTAACTGACTTACATATTATTTGTACAAGTAAATTAAAAAGTGTAGGAAAATTGGATATTTTTCAGTTGCAATATAGGTTATTAAAATGGACCTCACTAAAGTTAGAAATCTTCAATAGGAAAAAATGGTAATATTTATTAACCACAAAGCCCAGATTGTTTCACAGAGGAAGTTAATCAAACCTTTAAAAACCAGACAGCCCCAATACTCTATAAATTGTTGCAGTATATTGCTACTTATTTTTTTTTTATTTCCTGCCTTCTATTTTCTTAAAGTTTATTCTACCCTGTGTATTTTTCAAATTAGTTTGTAATTTAAAAATGTGGTTAATTTATATTGTTTTTCTTTCATTTGAAGCCATAAATTGTCATCTAAGTATCATTTTAGTTACATGACAGATCTGTTGATATATTATTTAGTCTAAACATTTTGTAATTTTATTATACTATTCTTTTAACCCATGATTCTTAAGAAATGGGGGGTATTTTGCCTTTTATATTCTAAAAGTGTAATTTTTAAAGTAAAACTTTTTATGGTGGACTTATAATTTGATTGCATTGTGGCCAATATAATCTGGCCTGTAGATTTTAAATTTTGTTGAAATATTTTAGTTGTCAATTTTTGGTAAGTATTTCTTATATGCTTGAAAAAATACATATTTTCTTTCAGTTGGATAGAGGCCTGCATCTACACATCTATATCTACTGTAATTATTGATTTTATTCATATCCTCTCCAAACTTAATTATTATGTCTATGTATCTATCAGTTCCTGATGGGGATATTTTAATACTCTCCAAGATAACATTGATGTCTTTTCAATTTCTTCCAGTAACTGAGATAGTTTTTGCTTTATATATTATGAAGCTATATTGCTCAATGCCTGCTACTTTATGATTATTAAAACTTTGAATTGAGTGCTTTTTAAAAATCTGTCTATATTATCTGTTATCTCTTTTAATGTATTTTGCTCATAACTTTATTATATATGGTCGGATATTAGCTTTGCTACTTCACCTTTGTTTTGGTTAGCAATTATCTGTTTATCATTTGTGTCTTTTTATTTATTTATTTTCTTTTTTTAAAAAAGATTTATTTATGAAAAAAAAAAGATTTATTTATGCATACAAAAACTGGGGTACAGGCCAGAGGTATGGGGGGGTGAAAGGATTCACCAGAGACAGTGTACGGAATAGAACAGGAGGATTGACTGAAATACACTGCTGAGGGGAGCAGCGGGTGAGTCAGGAGAGGTCTGCTGTGCCATGTGGTTAGCTCCCTGGGGAGGGCTCGAACTCATGCTGTAGTGGCTGCGAATAGCTTCATATGCTGTGTCTTAATCCCTTGCACCACGAGGGAGGCCCCTCATTTGTGTCCTTTTACAACAACAAAACCCCTCTGTTTCAAATACAATAGTGTATGTTCCTTAATAATCAGTAAATATAACTTTTTTCATTTGCTGATATCAATACTATATTTGGGTGCATTTTTATAATCTCACTTTGTGTAAACACCTTCTTTTTTAACTCTCTGTTTAAGACACTGAGTTTATTTACTCCTTTCTGTTATGCTTTACTCATTTTAGTTAAAATTTCTATTATTTTAATGGCCGCCATAGATGGCTAATGTATATATTAAATTAATTTTGACAGTCTAACCATTACTTAGCATCTCTTTCCCTCTCCCAAAGAAAATAAAAGGCTTACCTTCCATACAGTACCTCCTTCTCTCAAGTTATTTTCCACCTTAAAAAGAAAAAACACAATGCAGTTATTATATTTTTATTTATGCAATATCCGGGGCACAGACCAGATGCAAGGGAGGGTGAGAGGACTTACCAGAGACAGAGTGGGAAACAGAACAGGCAGACTGATGAAATACACTGCTGAGGAGAGCAGCAGGCAAGACAGAAGAAGTCTGCCACGCCATATGGGATTCTCTCCAGCCAGCTGGCAAGGCTAAGGACAGCCTCATGGTGCGGCACTCAATGGCCTACGCCACCAGGGAGGCCCTGCAGTTATTTTCTTTCCTATTTTTATTGTCATTGTTTATGAGAATTTATCTTCATGTCATACTGATCTTTTTGCTGCAGTTGCTTTGCATCTCCTACCTTTTCTATCTCAGTTCATTTTTCTTCTTGTTTTAGGAGATCTTCCTGCAAGGATCTGTGGAGGTAGAGTGACTTAGGCTGGTTGTAGCATTTTGGTTCCAAATCCTTCTCACTGAACATTTTGCAGGTATTTATGCTTTACAATTTCCTGACATTGTCATTGCTGATGGAAATGCCCCTGTCAATGTGGTTGCTGACTTGTGAGCAATCTTTGTGGAAGCCTTTGGAATTTTCCTCCTTAAC